GCACTTTATTTCGACAGTCCACTTTAGACATTATACTAGCTATGAATAACCTTGTAACTACATGTCAAAAAACTCTCATTAGTTTTGTTTAACCCACTGGTGCTCCTTGGACACATCATCAGTGGTCATGGGGTGTTTCGGGTCTTAGATCATCAGACTCCCTCGCTCGGGACACCCAGCCGCGGGTCATCAGTCCCGGCGCTACCGCTAGCTTCTATCCTAATCCACAGCCACCTCGACACCTTTTCTGCAGCTCCGATTATGTTCTCGGTGGCTTTCCTTTCCTGCAACCCTCTGATGCCAAGGAGACTGAATGTCAGGGTCTTTCACTGTTTCTTTGTTTGCCCTGTGTCTGAGCACATGGCTCTGTCTGTGTTTGTGTTGGTCATGTGCTCTTCTAGTCCCGCCTCCTTGTTTCCCGTCACCACGCCCCCTTGTTTAGTCCACGTCTAGTCCTCGTTTGCCTGACTGTGTTCTCCTGATCCTCATGTGCTCTGCTCTCTTTATATTGTTCTCCTTTCCCTCATGTCTTTGCTGGTTCGTTGCATTCGTTATGTGTGTGTGTGTGTGTGTGTGTGTGTGTTTCCAACAGATCTTGTCAGTCAATGCTAGATTTTGTGTTCTTTGCCAGTTCTAACTTTGTATTTTGTGTTGTATTTATTTATTTCAGGTTTCTCTTTGTTCCTGATTTTTATTCTAGTCAAGTTCCAGTCTTTATTTTGCTCTAGTTTTCCCAAGCTTTGTTTTTGGTTTCTCGCTTGTTTTTAATTTGATTGTTGACTAAACTTATATTACTTTTCTCTCTAGTTCCCTGCAAGGTTGCAGTGTTGTTTTATTTCTTTTTTGCAAGTTTCCAGTTATTTATTTCTAGAGTTTTTTTTTTACTTATTTATTTTGCTAGATCCTGTTATTACAGTATTTAGTTTCTTTATTTGATTTTCTCTAGTCTTAGTTATCAGTTTTATCTTGCTTTTATATCTTGTTGTCTTGTCTTGTGTGTTGTCTCGTGTTGCTCCCTGGCCGTTGACTCTCCTGCGGTTGGAATAAAATATCAGATAGATGAACTGCATCAATAAGCTCTTCTTTTACCTGACAGACTTCAATTCTTTAGACATATATAATAATGCTGACATTTACACTCACTTATATTTTAAGAGAGAGAGCATTATGTGAAAAGATTACTTTGTTAGCAGCTCTTTAACACAAACCCGTCCTAAACAGCGCGTCAAATATCAGTCATAATCAATAAACGTAGTTTCTTGTTTTTTGTATCAATATTTATTTATTGATCCTTATTAATTTCATTTCAAATAGTTTCTGAATGTTATTTATATATAAAAACACTTATGTTATTCATGATCAAGTATCGTATTAAATGGAAACTTATTTTTACCGTTAGTAACGTGAGGCAAAAGAAGTTAGAATGAAGGACAAACTGAAATTCACGGTATTTCAACACAACTTCTGCTCATGTATTTGAAGGCTGCTATTGGTTCATCGAGGCTAAACGTCATATGCGACTACGCATTACTTTACGGAGAGTTTACGACCTACTAGCTACGTTCTACCTTACGAACAAATGGTGCAACGGAATAAAGTATAGTTAGTTACAAACCAGCTAGTAGTTACTAAGCCTCTAGTATGGACTTTACGTTACAATTGAAGAAAGAACTTACGAACGGCTGGTGCAACCCTACCCTGGTCTGGCAGCTAGTCTGCTACGTCTAGTCTCATCACCGACTGTCAAGCCTCTGGTTCCCTGAGCCGCTGCCTTGTCTCCATCTTTGGCCGTCACATCTTTGCTGTCTATCCCCGCCCAGCCTGTTTTCCAGTTGTGTGCCCTGCCCTATTGTTTGGACTGTGTTCCTATCTTGTGCTGTTACTTTGTTATCAACAAATAACACCCCTTGCTTATTCCTCATCTGGGTCCTCCCTCTCAGAATTCGTGACACTGAATGCCCGATTTAATGCCAACCTCAATGGCCTTCCAACCATGTCTCCTACACCCCTCTACCACCTCGAGATATGTCCCCCTTTTACACCCATGGGCCTCCTCCATCCGGTCTTCCCCGGGGACAGTGAGTTCCAACACAGCACTGGTTTAGAACAGTCAGATGTCTGACCTGAGTAACGTCCTTGCAATGTGATTTGGAAACTTCAACTGCTTCCTTAGATCGACCTTCAATGGCCAGTCATGTTGCATGCTGCCCGTTTGAGGCCCTTCACCTGAGGTCTTTCTCCCTCCCTGACAAAGGTGATGTTGTGCCTTGTTGTATGCTGATATTGACTCTGCTGTATTCCAGTGCAGATGGTACCAGCAACTGCTTTCAGCACCTGTTCATGGTGCCACCTGTACCTCCCCTCTCCCAATGCTTTTTGGGTAGCAGCTCAAGATGTGCTCCAGGGAACCTCTTCTTAGGCTCAGTTGGGATGTGGGCTGTGGGCTGTTGGCTAAACCCCAGCAATACAAATTAGATGGGCTTGGAAGGACACTATAGATCGACTGTATCTTGTACTTCCCAAGCTCTGCCCGGGTGATCTTGTGGGCCACTGCACTTTCCCAATTAGTCCAAGCTCCCTGTTTACACACATCCACTGTCCTACTCCAACGTTCCTCTTCTGCCTCTGCACGGATCTCTCCCTGGTCAGCTGACGTCTCTCTCTCCCCTGGGCTTTGTCGTAGCGAGGTCTTCTAATGCTCATCCGGCTGCCACAGAGCCTACCAGCATGCCTTTCTCAGCCCTGCTTCTCTCTAGGGTTAGATGTTAGGGTGAGGGTTAGTATAAGTTGACATGTAGTTACAAATTATGTAATTATTGTCGGTAGAATGTGTAAAGTGGACAATTGAAATAAAGTGTTCTAGATTTTATTTACTATATAAACTCATCATATTTCTCAACACACACAGATTCTGCCTGGGGTGAAGGTTATAATCGCCAACACAGAGACCAAAGGACCTCTAGGAGATTCTCATCTGGGTGAAGTGAGTTTCAAATATGGCAGCAAGTGTTACACAATGCAGAGAACCACAGAGAATGTTAAAATGTCTCTGTATTATGTATTGTCATGTGTAGTGAGTTGATCCGACTGTATTACAAAAACAGATTTGGGTGAGCAGCCCCCATAATGCCACAGGATACTATACGGTTTATGGCGAAGAGGCGTTGCACGCGGACCACTTCAGCACCAGACTGAGCTTCGGTGACACGCAGACGGTCTGGGCTCGCACCGGTTACCTCGGCTTCCTGCGGCGTACAGAACTCACAGATGCCAGTGGAGGTACTGTATACACACTAGTGTCCCTTTTCAGGACATTTCTGAGGTGACTTTTCTATTTAAAGGGATAGTTCCCTTTGAAATTAATTTTTGGTATGTTTTAGCTTACCTCAAGGACATCCAAGATGTAGGTGTCTTTGTTTCCGCAGTAGTTTCAATTTTGATATTTTTAGGTCAAACCGTTCTTGTCTGTCAGTCATATAATGCAGGTCTATGGTCACCACCTCAAAGAGCATGCACAGAGAAGGCCAAATTAAACATGATTTAATGACTCGTAAATGTAAGTACACATTTTGATGGCCTAAGACACGAAACGAGCGGTTTGTGTGAGAAAACGAACAGTATTTATATCGTTTTTACCTCTTGTAAAACAGCCACATCCAAGTACTCTGAGGGCGCGGGCGCTTCGGTCTTTTCCGGCTAACATTTCTGTTTAAACATCCCGGATAAGCGCAAATTAGTACCATTTTAATTAGCCGTCTTACTTAAAATCTCTGTTCTGCGTAAACAATGAGTGACGTACACGCGCGAGAGAGATCACTTCCGGCGCTTGCGCAGACCGAAGCGCCGGCGCCCTCAGATCACTTGGACGTGGCTGTGGTTACAAGAGGTAAAAACTATATAAATACTGTTCGTTTTCTCACACAAACCGCTCGTTTCGTGTCTTAGGCCATCAATGTGTACTTACATTTACGAGTCATTAAATCATGTTTAATCTGGACTTCTCTGTGCATGCTCTTTGAGGTGGTGACCATAGACCTGCATTATATGACTGACAGACAAGAACGGTTTGACCTAAAAATATCAAAATTGAAACTACTGCGGAAACAAAGACACCTACATCTTGGATGCCCTTGAGGTAAGCTAAAACATACCAAAAATTAATTTCAAAGTGAACTATCCCTTTAAAATTATTCTCAATAAAAGGCTGATTCGATGTACACCCTGACACATTTAATAGCTACATTTTCTATTTAGTTTTAATTCATTTTTGCTTTGCACTCATATCAGTAATGACAGTTGTGTGGTCCAATAAATCAATAATGTTTTGCATATTATTCCAGAGAGACATGATGCCTTGTATGTGGTTGGATCTCTGGATGAGACTCTAGAGCTGCGGGGAATGCGTTACCATCCCATTGATATTGAAACGTCTGTAATAAGATCACACAAGAGCATTGCAGAGTGGTAAGCAACATTTTTTAAATGTTTTCCTTGTACCTCATAGAATTGGGTTTTAATAGATAAACCTTTTATGTAACATTAATAATATTACAGCAGATTGTTTTAATCTTTTAACTGTAATACAGAGTTTTATTACATTCAATTTCAACAATTGAATGCACATTAGATTTATTTTTCATTTTTCATTCATCCATGACACCGTCTGAATGATAGTTAAGACTTGTATAGCAAGAATTATTGTAAAAACGTCCACCTTCAGCTAGTGGTTCATCAGCACCAAATTGCAGCTTTCTGGTGATCCTGAAGACCTTGATTCGCTTGTTCGGGTGTGTTAGATTAGGGTTGAACTCTGCAAGACATTGGATCTCGAGGGCCAGAGTTGAGAACCCTTACTTTACAGGGTGATAAGTATATTTGACTTGCACAAATATCAAAACATTGTTCAGACAAGTTACTTTTCCTTAGAAGCAAAATTGCATTATTAAAGGAAGTTTTGAGTTATAGACAAGATAAGAAACATGGATCTACAGTATTTGTGTTACCACAGAAAATGTTTACTCATATTACAATACCTATTACCTATTATACTCATATTACAAAAGATTTGCTGTGGTATTTTTGTCATCTTATGGTTCCAAAGCAACATACAACATACAAGTATTGTTGGCCAGTCAAACACACTGCACACCAAAACACGTATTCTTACACACAAATGGACCAGCTCTAACATTGATAACTAGAAAGTTCCCTATCAGTCAGTCACGTTCAACGTTACGTCAGAACAAACTGACAAATTGGAATCTCGCCTGAGAGCCCAATCACAAAACAAGCCAATGCACATTGGCGAGTGAGATTTGCATCGCAAGCCACTCCCCGTCCATATGGGTATATAAGGCAGCATGCAACACTCGGAGCCGAGCAGATGTTGTTTTACTCTGCTCTTCAATCATTGTTTGAGTAAGCAGAACAAGAGGGAAGCTGTTCCAGTGTTGGTGTGACGGCGCGTTCAAGCAGAGGTCACGTTCAATAAAAGAGCATTGCACAGATAAGTGCTGCCATTGTCCCCCTAGGCGCCTCAACACTGAAAGAGCACATTTTTCTAAAAGAGTAAACACGGGTGTGACTTGTGTGGATGTGACGATCACTACCCAATGCGTCTGGGCCATAAGCACGCTGAAGTAGTGTTCGTTGATGAGTTATGCTCCCTCTGCAGGAAGATAACCATTGCGATGTTGACAATGAGACTCATATGCCTTGAAAAATGTGGAGCCTCCCCTGCTATTCCCCAATCTGGTGTCTCTGCCCCACAGTGAGCCACTTCGGCTCTCTGACCGGGTTCCTGGGAATGGCCAGCGGTTGTGGCGTTTTCTATTGGGATCCCAATTCTTCAATCTGTTTGCAAGCCACGTAACTGCCTGATGTAACACCGAACGTCACTGACTGATAGGGAACGTCTCGGTTATTAATGTAAACCTCGTTCCCTGAAGGGAAACACAACCCCTTTACCACCACTTGAACGGACGGGGCCTTGTCTCGGCTCCTCAGGGGAAAACTTGGAAAGCTCTCAGGCGAGATCCCAAATTGTCTGTCTATTTTGATATAACATCTCCGTTCCCTCCTTCAAGGAACGGAGGTTACATAAATAACCGAGACGTTTTGATACCATCCCTTGTGAAAAAGCTTACTTTTAATGCTAGTACTAGTACATACTTTAGCCTAGTGTAAACTCAATGTAATGTTCTTCTCAGACACTTGACGTTCAATTCAATTGAATGTTAATTGCAATTATATGAAAAGGTTTTGTTTAAATTGATATTAAATGCAATTAGCTTAGCGTTGACCCACTTAAACAGGACTCAAGCACATCTTTATATGATATAATATATAAATAATTTCATGATTACTTGTGTTGTCTTTGAAATGCTTTCTGTGATAATCGACCACATGCCACAAATGCTGTTGATCAAGGTTCATTTAACTGGAAGCATTCTTTAAGACTTCCTGAAGATTGAATCATCAGTATGAATATCTTTCTTTATGAAATTTCAGTATTTTGTTCCATTGGTAGAGTGAATTCAATCTCATCTCAATGGCAAAAAGTGCCCCAATCATCCTGAATTCACCCTTAGATATTTAAAAAAAAATTCAACAGGCATCTTTTGCAGTGTATGTAATCTGCTTTTTCTACCTAATTAAACACGCCACCCGTCTTCTTACTCTCTCCTCAGCGCTGTGTTCACATGGACTAATCTACTGGTGGTGGTAGTGGAGCTTGAGGGGTCAGAACAGGAAGCCCTGGACCTTGTTGCCCTGGTGACCAATGTGGTTCTGGAAGAGCACTATCTCATAGTAGGGGTTGTTGTGGTAGTGGACCCTGGAGTCATTCCTATCAACTCCAGAGGGGAGAAGCAGCGAATGCACTTGCGGGACGGCTTTCTCGCCGACCAGCTGGATCCCATATACGTGGCCTACAACATGTGAGAATGTGTAATGTGGAGGAGGAACCAGATGCCAGAAAACTCTGTATATGCAAATTTACAAAGGAAGCATTAGCGGAAAGTTTGGACAGTCTTGCCTCTTCCTCCACACACATGAAGAGTCCTTGATGGAGCTATGCAGTTTATTTTTTATATCAAACTGTCAGAATGCCTTGAAAATAAAACTCTGATTCAGTGGTCAGGGCAAATGACTTGATTTCATCTCCTGTTGTCTTGTGCGACACAATTGAGTTCAGTTCTTATTCAAGCACACTCGTTCTGCACATAACACACATGAGTGTTGAATGTTCCCTGTGTGTGAGGAGGACCGGCCCAAATGGGCAGAGGAGTGCCTGATGTCAACAGCAGGATCCAGATTCTAGGACCATTGAACTTTCAAGGCCATGTGAAAATGTGTAATGCACTTCATTTCACAGCATTACTGTTGTAGCTGTAAAAAATGCACAAACCCAAGTTTTGTTTGGTTTGTTCATTTTACATCAACACGCAAATCTTTGATAAATGTTTTATCCGGAGACCGAATGGCAATAAGGAAATGGATATCAGAGTCTTTGTTTTCAAGAAAGCAGTACTGAAGGTGTGCTGTGGATCTGCTGCTTCACGAATTCACAAGCTTATGCATTCCCAGCTAGTGTTTCAACATGGGCCTTAAATATTTTCATACGCCTGTGGATTGTTTGTAATTTGTATTTCCCCATTCATTAAACTCATTAATGTGTGAGCTTTTAGACTGTGCAGGATAGGAATCAGGGTAATAAGTGTATAGATGAAGAGTCTTATTCAGGTAACCAAGTCCCAATCTGAAAAATATTTCTACTCAAATTTACATTTACAGCAGTTGTCATTTACTTAATTTTTTTACACTGTATGACCATTTACGAGTAGTGTATCTTATATTCCTGCAGAAGGTGACATTTTTAGTCTCCTACATATTACTGATTGAAAAGAAAGTATCCTTTTCCCTTAATTCATTACAACATACCTAACAGATGGGACCGGTATTTCAGGAAAACTGACCACTGCAGATGAGGGCTTCTGATTCTTCTTTTCATTACTGTGTTAAAGAGTGATAATTGCTTGTATTTACACCGAGTTGGCCAGCACTGTATAGACCACTTCTAACAATGCTTGATTTATTTTATTGTGCTCACTACGTAAAGGATAGGCGATTTGCCTGCTGTAATTATGTACAGAATTTGTGTAATAAGTTATTACTGGGACACCAGAAACATATGAACACTTTTGGCATGGTTTTTGCAGTGGCATGGAGGAAACCAGATGCTGCTCAAACTGAAGTTTCATTTCTTGATCAAACAGTAAGGAGAACAACATGAGTCACTATTCATGTAATATTTTATATTGCAATAGACTCAAGAAATGGTTTTGCTGCAAAGATTGTAAAGCACATACAGCATCTGTATCGCAGGATGTTTAATGTTTATTTGCAGTTCTGTAATTTAGTGAATATTTGGTTGACAGCTTTTGACTTCTGTTAATATTTCTTAATAAAAATCATGCTTTTAAATTAGTGGCATTGCAATTTTAATTCTATTGTCATTTTTAATGCTCATTTCACAGACATATTTATCCAAAGTAACTTACATTGCATTCAAGATATACATTTATTTCATGCTTTTCCTGGGAATCAAACCCATTACATCGGCATTGCTCTACTGTTTGCTACAAGAATGCCCAGTATACAATAATAGAAATGCTAAATAGGCTATAACAGTAAACAAGAAGAGAACCAGCCCTAGAATTATCAAAACATGATTACAAAGAGTTAAGAACTTTTGAGTATGCATGGTAGCAGTACTAAACAGATGAAAACAGAAGATCAGCACTGTTACTTGGAAAGATCCTCATGATCGTCTCAGTGGAACATAGTCGTTAATTTCAAGCTACTTCAAGAAATGTATTCTTCTATTTTTTCCAAAAGCTTTGTTGCAATTTCCAGTGCACTTCTAGCATTATCAACGCTGAACTGCTTGTTTGGGATGTGAGGAAATTGGTGATAGTTCGGATACTGAGTTTTTCTGCCATCAACACCAAGTTCAGTCAGTTGCCTCACAGTGTTTGGTAAAGAAGTCAACTGTGAGCTGTAATGGGAAACCTGCTGAGCAAGGCTAGTTATTGAGCAGTTTTTGGGATGCTCTCCACTTCTCCTGTACATTGCTGCTATCAGGGCTTTTTCCACAGCCTGATGCACCTTAAACAGACACCACTCTGAGCAATCTCCTCCAGTGTCATTGTGAGCTGCTCTGATGTCACATTGAGCCTGTTCATACCAGCGGTTTGCCTCTCCTCTGTTTGGCCTTGGTGTTTCTCTGTGGTATGACCAGAAGTTATAGTGTCTTCTAGAGTAGTTCTGATAGAACCTCTCACGCCCCCTCCTGTGTCTTCGAGCCTCTGTGTTCCACGTGTCATAGAAATCTCTCCAGGTTGAGGATGTGCTATGTGCAGTTATCCCTTGTTGAAGTTCCTTAATTCTCTTTTGCAGGTATTTGAATGCCTCACTGGCAAGTTCTTCATTGCCTGGGTTTTTGTCTGGATGCCACTGGAGGTAGAGACGTTTAATGGCTTTTTGTTTGTCCTCACTTGACATTTTCCAGATTTCATTCAAGCTTTGGTCAATTTTTCTTTTGATCTCTTCAAATGTCCCTGGAAAGACTGCGTTGGGTGGAGGCCTGGATGCCAAAAGACGTTCTATATCGGTGCAAGTGGACCCTGTGTTGGGTGGAGGTCTGGATGTCAAAAGACGTTCTATATCTGTGCAAGTGGACCCTGTTGACACAGTTGCCTTCTTTTCTCGTTTAAATTGGTAAAGGTCAAGAGAGCTTACTTCAATGAAGTCATCGCTGCCAACTTGTATTTTATATCTGGCAGGAAATTGTCTTATTTGTCCCAGTGCATCATCCAGTCGGTTGATAACAATGGCATATAAATATTCACCGGATTCGTCCTTGCTGAAGCCAACATACTCTCCACTTTCAAAGTTGTTGAGGAAGTTCATATCAAGGCAGTCATGCCATTCTTCAGGTATGCGACATCCAGGTTTCGGTAAGCCATTGTGTCCTTCCTCGTGGCCACTGTAATGAATGCCATGGTTTGCCAATGTTTTCTCAACATCCTCCATGTTATCACACAGGAGAAGTTGCCCAAGGACTTGAAAGCTTGAGGTGGTCAGACAGTTCTTTAGAAGAGCATTGATTTCTTTAGTAAGACACATATTAACTTCATTTACTACTTTGGGGACCATGTCATCATTGTGTTTCAAGTAGAAACTGCATCCATCTTTCTTTCTTTTCACATAAACATCTGTCTCAGCCTTACTACCTTCAATTGGATCATGGTTTAACAGAAGTTTAGTCTGAAGAGTTTTGCAACAGATAATCTGAATCTTAGAGAAGATTTCTTCACACTTTCCGACAGCTTCCGACTGTGAAATCCCACCTTTGCTGTCTTCTCTGATGAGACAGACTAGTCCATGAAGAAATGCAGCAGAAGACAAGTGTTTGTCAAACCAGCCACTAAATTCACATTCCCCTTCATCACAATATTGGACACTTGCTCCCGCCAGCTTTTCAGAAATTACATCCGAGAGAAATGTGGGGCGAACTTGCAGGGGAAGGAACTGCAACAATGTTTGATGTTCGTAGTGATCATTTCCAAGATGACAGCAGTTTAATTTTTCCAGCAGTTTCAGCTTGGTTTCCAAAGGACCCTCAAGTCTTGCAGGCTGGAAGACTGTGTCGTTGAAAAACAAAGTGTTGGATTCATAGAGTCTTCCATCTGTTGATGGAAGATAAAGTGGGTTGTTTCGGAAACAGGATTTGTTCTGATTCTCTTTAAGCAGGTTAAACAGCTGTTGTACAACACGCCTCACAGCTTTCTGCTGATTTGCCTGAAGACTGTCTTTGTCAGAACTATCAGAATAGATTTCTTGAAGAACAGTGATATATTGATTGACGGTGGGCCTCTCATTTACACCAATCTTCCCGAGGAAGTCTTCATATTTCATATACTTTGATGGAATGCAGAACAAATAAGGCCTAAAGTCAAGAGCATCATGTAGCACAAGTGCTGTCTGCTTTGCCTTCACAAGTTTTGTCCCGTTTTCCACCAAGATAATGGGGAGGTCTGAGAACAGAGAGGCATCAAAATGTATTGACTGCAGGTATGCATATGATTTGCTAAATACTGTGTTTCTTGTTTCCAACAATGTGTTAGTGTCACACTGAGACCTACAAATGTGACCGATCACGGAAACTAGGGACACAAGTCGGTTCTTCGGCATTTTGAGTTATTCATAGATTCTGAAAGTGTAGTCTCCAAGCTTTCCAACGATGTGTAACACGTGGAAATCTGATAATATTTGGAGAAGTTGTGGCCATTTGAAGGTAGGAACTCAAAAAAGGTAAAATGGGTGAAAACGGCCTCAAAAGATTGTGCATTCTCACCTCTCTCTCCTGCTGGGAGTGACAATAGGGCTCATTTACATCTCATTTAGATAAGCCATACCCCCTGTAAAGCTCCCCCTGTGCTTTACAGCTTTTTTTTCTTTCCTGAGCTAGCTAATAACAATAGGTAGGTATGGGAAGGTCTAAACAGACTAAACATGAGATAACATGTACGTGTTCTTAGAATTAAAACAAAACGACAAACTTTAATGCTTAATGCAAACTCACCCCCAGGACCGGCGAATGCACTTCTGCCGCTCTAGGCGAAAAACAATTGTGCTGCCCCTCTATTTGCAACGTTTACCAGCAACAACACACAAAGACCAATATGCCATATACATATAACGCAAAACCAGCAACAACACACAAAGACCAATAAGCCATAGGCCTACATATAACGCAAATAGTGCGCAACGCGCGTGTGCCCAAAATGTCAACAATATTAAAGTTTATGCAGGAGGTAAATGCCTGCTGGCATTTTTCTTTAAGCAGTCATGACAGGAATTTTCCAAATAATCATATTTCCTCCTCAGATTACTGTTGCAAATCTCTTTACACCACTTTCTTATGTGCGTATACACACACAAATGAAATGTCCGCAAGCACATTATCATCAGCAGGTTCAGCATCTTAAATAACGACTAGAGAGCAAATGAAGCTTAACTTACGTTTCAGAAACGCGCACGGCAGGCCTTCATCGCAGCAAAGGTCTTAACTGCATCCTCTATTTCGATTCTCTGTGCCAGTTCATGTTCTATGGAGATTGTTGCCAGTCCATTAAGTCTGTTCCCTGTTCACAAAACGTTCCCCATTCAAAGCAATCGGGACATCACATATGAAACAGTTAGCCACCGCTGTCAGCGAGCCGAGCCGCCGTATTCAAGCACCGAGGGCGCGCGCGCCGCGCCCATACCTCCGGTTCAGTTTCCCGAGCCCACAAAGTGCGGCGAAAACATTTTCGGTGTAACTGCCACGCTTCAGCTCGTCTGCGACAATCTTTGCGGCGTCCATCTTCATTGAATTTTGATATCAGATAGAGCCGGCCAGAGCGCTGCATATTAAGTAGCCACGCTGTTGGGGG